AAGGCAAAATCCATTCTACCTAGGGGAGTTCCAGAGGCTATTTTCTGGTATGTTAGCAGCAAAAGAACCAGCAAAGCACACACCACTTCAAAAGATGACAACATGATCTAGAAATTGCCTTCCAGGCTACTTTAATACAAACCTCTGATGATTCAGAGTGAATAGGTGAAGGGGACTCATTCATATGCAGCTGCACGGATTATAAAAGCCATTGGGGAGCAGCTGGAATTGACCACAAGTGCCATTACCTTATAGCTCCTGGGTCATAAATATTTTGTTTCATTAGAAAGGTGATCAGACATTTTTTGTTAAAAAGCAGTTCAATCACCGCATTGAACATAACCCTGCCATTCAAAGTACAAGGTGCAGGGATCCCTTTTATATCCTGCTCATGGCTCAGCTTAGTCAACATGCATGCCTGAAAAAACAAAAACAAAAAACAAAACTAGAGACCCCTAGACACTAAGGCCAACAGTTTGGGCCTGGACTCTTCCTAGGGCTCAGACCAGGAAGCAGGCAGTATTTCAGGTGATATTTCCCATTCAGAGTACAGTGCCTTCACTTTCTTCTGCAGGACAGCAGTCCAATTCTATTGGTCCAATGCCAGAAGAAAACTCAAAACATCTAAAATAAACAGAGCTTTCAAGAGAATTAGTCAAACTATATAAAAATAAACCTAGGGAAATGTTCAGGCAGGAATTTAACACAGAACAATCTTTAACCTCCATGATTAAGGGAGGGAAGTAGGGCCTTGATTACAGCTTCTGTGGGGTTGCAGTCCCTCCCAGGAACATTGGCCCCGGACTCCCCATTTCAGCAAGGTTAGATAAATCAAGTCCACACAGTCTCATGCAATGAACTGTTCAAGCCTCTCCCAAACCATAGAACAAACACACACTTTAAGAGAAGGAAAAATGACCCCCTCCACCCCCAAACAACTGAACTGGGCAGCATTTTTTTCTTCCTTTATAGCCTAGCATAGGTTGCCCCTCCAATATGCAAATTAAAAGTGCCAAATGCTGCCACCATCCTCTGGCTTGATCAGTTCCTCTGAGCAGAGGTGGAGCAGAGACAACACAGACACTAACCACCTAAACAATTTGTGCATAAAACAAACACCCTGATAGAACAAAACACAAAAAAAACCAAACAAACCCACAACCAAACCAACAACACCACCAAAAAAAAAACAAAAAACAAAACAAAAAAAAACCTTAACGTGACTAAGGAGGCAGGAATAGCCTCCTCAAAGAATGATTGTGTTCCTGTCTTGTAAGACCAGCTTACAAAACAAGTCCAAAATAAACAGCAGCCCCTTGCAGCACATGCCCACACACCAAAGCTGTCAACTTGCTTCCACAGGGTCACAGCAGCAGCAAAGGAAAGCATGAAGTTCTGTAGAAGCAGTCAGCCTAAAACAGTGGGTACCCTGTTGGGGAGAGAAAATAGAGTGTAAAGCCATTTCCTCTTACAGGAGTGATGCAAATCAGAAAATCCCAAAGTCTTCCCTTATCTCTGTATGACTACTCTTCCGAAAAGCAACATTTAACAAGCTACTTGAACTCAGTTTCCCTCCCCCCTGGCCTGTACCAGTACTTTCCAACATCTCATTCCTGTGTCTTGTTCATAGCTTCGTAGTTTCTAGGGTGGGAAGGGACCCGAGTAGATCATCTACTCCAACCCCCTGCCATGGCAGGAA